AAGTCAACCTGACGCCACCCGACCGCGGCCATAAATCCCGAGCAGAAATTTAATGAAATAGTTGCCGAGGAGAGATTTTCTCTACGGATGACAGCGTTTTAAAACAGTGAATTCCATCTGGTATCTTTCTCTTCCTCCCCGTGCCCACTGTCCCATTCATACGCCGTGAATGAACGAAATATTTCAGGAACGCGTTAGGCTGATAACAGGAATTAATTCGCCCCGAATACTGAGTCCGTCTCTGCCTTTCATCTCCCACCAGCGTCTGCATACCGAGAGGAGGCAGCCTCGGTATTTTTATGGGATTACGTTCCACGGGGGTGAAAATAGCGGAGAGAGAGAGAGAAGGGTGAGCCGAGAATGATATTATTGGAAAAGCTATTTACGCAACGCTGCCTTGCTAAATGATAAAGCAAGGAAAAGAAACGTTGAACAAAAAGGACAGGATCACCCCCCGGGAATGCAACGAAGAAAGTAACTTCTTTACGAGGTCAGTGGATGGTATTTTCACTGATATTTCTGCAGAGGGGGAGCGTTCCTTTATCTCGCTCGGACTTGCAGAAGCGTGTAGGGAACGGGTCAGCCCGAGTTCCTGACATTTTCCCCTGGTAAACTAAATTGGGTCGTCCGGTAAATCCCGAGGAATACAGGTCAAAGTAGATTCTACGAGGCATTAGACGGGAAAAGGGTGCGGGTGCTCTCCAATCGGTTAACGCGTTGACTGTCATGGTGGTCATCGGTGACAGGTGCAGGTCTCCTCAGTGGGGCCATGTTGGTCACCCATGTCCAGCGATACTAATTTTTTCAATTTATACTTGCTTTATTCCAACCAATTTTTGCATATTTGAAACATTAAAAATTCACATCATTTATTCTTTTTTATTCTTTGCCATATTGATGATTCGTCACTATATCCTAAGTATAATGGAAATTTTATCGTGGCCCCCTGAGCGTATTATATAACGAATGCATGGCAGTCAAAGCGTTAACAGGATCGACTATAATTAATCACCTCGAGGATCGTTCCTCCTGTCAAACAATTTCGCTGGTAGATCAACGATCATCCTGGCGAACACGAGTAAAAGGGAACGACTGCGCGAGGAAATAGGGTGCAATCGGGTTCGTGGTCTAGTATCGCGAATTTTCCACCATGTACACGTAGCTTTACGAAGGAGCAAAGCCCAGGTCAATTGGGAAAAACCCTAGACGGTGTCAAATATAGTCATGTTAAGGGAGACATCGGAAAACGCGTGCATGGTGGGCAAGGTATATAAAGAAGCTTAAAAATGATCGGAGGACAGTTTCCATAGACAGTTTTAGTCTTAACCGATTAGTTGTTGCAAACCGAGTTATTATCGAGTCGTAAAATTGAACGCTGTATTAAGTCGAGGATCGATCTAGATTCTTGTAGAGAGATAATTCGTATGTTTAATCGTCACTCGTATATGGTTAGAAGTTATTAATAAATTACACCACCGTCAATGTCTAGAGTAGTAATAACCACTTAGCGATTCTCCGAATTGAAAACCAAAGATGAGCAAGCTAACATAAATCTCTGTATTCGGAGGACGCAGCGCGATGGATAACGAGTCCATATGAACGTGCTCGCGGGGAGAGATGGAAAAAGGAAAGAGGGAAAAGACAGGACTCGTTGCCTCGCGTAATGAACGCGTACTTAAACGGGCGTTAAACGGCCATTTCGCCGCGGAGTGAAATGCACTTTTGAACATTACCGGGAGCTTTAACGAAGAAGAACGCGGTGCCTCGTGTTTCCTCTTTAATGTGTCTACAGCTGAATAGAAGTGCAGGCGTCAAAGGGAAATTGCGCACACGAATCAGAAGATTGCCGCATGGAATGAAAGCACGTGGTGTGTGCACAGACGTCGCTGACACCGGGGCCACCTTCGGGAACACACGATCCCGACCAGCCACGCCGAGCTCGATAGGGCGTGGTCCTCGGGATCGATACCATAAAAAGCTCACCCGGCGTGCAACTTCTTTAATAAAGTACGCGACTTTGCGTGCACGCGTTTGTATTAAGCATTTCCACGAGTTTATGCAAATCACCCTCGACTTCCGTGGGCGCGCATTCGATTACACCCTTCGTCGCGCACGCCGGCGACGTCGTGGGCATCGCGAGTGCCATCGGCGCTTCTGCTGGCGAAATATCCTCAATGCGTAGTGAGAAGGTGTCTCGAGGTGTTTTCAAAATTTTCATTTCTTTTCTCTACCATTAACACGTTGACTGCCACAGTGGTCGTCAATGACCTGCGCTTGTCTCTTCAAAGGGGCCATGGTGGTCACTAGTATCTGGCTGTAGCAATAGCAATTCTTTAAATTTGTATTTGGTTTGTTCTAACCAATTTTTGAATATTTGAACAACGTACATAAATAGAGAACTTTGAACAGAAGATATTAATAATTTGCACCTTTTTTTATTTTACCATATTGTTTGATAATTCATAATTATATCCCAAGAATAATGGAAATTTTCTCATGACCCCCTGAACATACCATGTTAAAAGTGCATGGCAGTCAAAGTGTTAACGTCAACTATGTTAACTTTGAATCGTAACCCGTGAATATAAACGCGTGATAAAATAGAGGTAAATAAGCATAATCGTTATTCTCTGTGCAAGTATGACACGAGGTGGGTCGAGACGTTTTGAAAAATATGTTCTCAAATTTTTGTCCAATTGATCATTGTCGTTTCGCTGAGATTAATATCCGATTGTTAACACTAACCTATAGCGTGTGAATGCAAATGTAACGGAGATAAATAACTATAAATAATCCTAACTTTGACTGAAAGTATGACATAAGAAGGTAAAATTTTTCTCCAAACAGCGATTGTCCTTTGTTGACACTGATTTGCGGGATGTGAATACAGATGTAATGGATACAAATAAATACACGTAACAGCAATTTTGATTTAAAGTGCAACACGAGAAGCTGGTGTTTTAAAACTTTTATCGGAATGACCATTGTCCTTTCTTTCATGCCAACGTTAACATTAGATTTACTGACCTGTAATGCACGAATATGAATATCACGGAGGCAAACAGGTATACGTGAGAGGAATTTTATGCGAATAAAGGTCAACGTTTATTCGATGAGAAGTGTACTTTCAGCAATGGTAAAAATAAAATACGCGAAACTGGCAATTTTTGAAGAGTGTATCGATCCAGGAGCCCGTATTTCTGGGTCCAATTCTGAGGAACGTCTATGGATTTTGACATACGAGAAAGCTGCTACGTTTTCGTCACATTGGGGTTAATTACTCGATTAATTAAGCGCGAATGTATATCGCGAGACTGCACTTGGTCGTTATATATTCACGGGTCAAATGAATATGAATCGCTCGACGTCGAACAGTCGTGAATCGTTTCTGCAAATTACAATATAATCAGGAGTAGGACCAATTAGAAAGCAATTACCGTGGAACATCCCGAAGTTATGATCATTGCCCAGTCGTTCGTCGTAAATCACTAAATACCAGTGCCCTTGTGCATTTTATCTCGTTAACGACAGAAGAAAGATTCATCGAATTAATTCGATAATTTTATCATTCCACAATGAACCCCTCGCGCGGGAAATTCAATTACGAAAAATCGTCCATTGAGAAATTAATTCTATTATCGATTTTTTATCTAAATAAATTAAAAAATGTACGTCATTATGAACTGGACATTACGACAACTCGAAGGGTTAATTATTATTAAAATTTCGGTTCGCTCTGACGCCGTTGCAATTATCGAAATATTCGAAACTCGCGGTGAAACGAAACAACGAGCATAGACACCTGCTATTTGCTACGTTCGAAAGGACGATTTTATAAAGGAAAGTGGGCATTTCTAACGAATCAGCGGAGAACGGAACAGGAAGAAAACAAAAATGTTTATTCGCGACATATTTGTACAGTGCTTTGAAAGGAAGAAAAATCAACAGGACTGGCCATTCAGACAGGCTGAAAGCATCAGCTTGGCACATTTTATATTCCAACGTTGACGTAGCGAATATTTGATGATACTTCGCCTGTAGTGCGAATGAAAAGAGAATAAGCAACAAGGAATAACGCCTTTCGCCTCGCTGATTCTTTTCGCTGTCAACTTTTGCATATTCAACAGATTCAGGGTTAACATTCCTGTCATTCGGTCGTAATTACTTTTCCTTCTGTTTAACGCGATATATTATTAATTGGCACAGCAATTAGAACACCAACGCGCTTCTGGCTAATGCCTCGCGAGTGCGCAGCCTGGAGCGGATTAAAAAGGAAGTTGGCAGACGCGCATATTAGGCTCGGCTATGAAATACTCGAGGAAAAATGCGTATCGATTCCACGTAAATTTCCTACTCTCCAATTTTCTATCGCACCCTCGTTAATTCGCCATTGGATTTTCTGCCTTGTCGATTAATTTCTTCTTATTAAGCGTACTCGTTTGCGCCGCTTCGATTTATCGTTCAATTACGGGGCTGAAAACGAGAGTAATGCGTTTAAAAGCCGATAATAAGGGTTGCAAATAGGTTACCCAAGTATTTTATTTCAAGCAATAAAACTAATATTTTTATAGTCTTTCAGAGTATAAAGACACCACTTGTGGAGGAATATTCCGTGTCCTACCAGTGGTAGAAACTTCAGCAAAATACGTCTCGTGTGATTTGTCAAACTTTGAATATTTCCACACCGATTTGCGCGTATTCCATTTATAATTCAATCGCGAAACTGGGTAAATGAGAATAGTAGGTTTGAAAGTCGATAATAAGGGGTAGCAAATGGGGGTGGCTTGATATTCTATCCGAGAGAATGGAAATAATATTTCCATAATGGATAATATTTTATGTCCCAGCAGTGGGAGATATTCCAGTGAAATATATCTCGTGTGACTCGGCAAACCTTGAATGTTTCGTTACTCGTTCGCACGTGTGCCAAGAACGTTTGAAATTGATTTACGCGATGGTCGGAGCAGTCGAGGGATTAAGTGATTTCTTTCCATATACAGCACGATGCCCTCAGATAGCATGGACGACATCGAGCTGAAAAACATTCAGCTGCAATTTCCACCGCTGAGATGTCTATCGAGAGACGACAGCTCGGTGCGAGAAGAGAGGGTGGAAACTGACAAAGGGAGTCTGCTGGTGGCCATCCAAGGGAACCGAGCGAAACCTGCCATTCTCACTTATCACGACTTAGGCCTTAATTGTGAGTAATCCGCGAGAGTTCTTTTAATCGAGAAAAATCGACAGGTCTATCGGGAGGCCGAGAGACTAGATCATTTTCAGCGAGATTGACACGGGATCCGATACTAACGATTCTGTCTGTCCGAGGTTTGAAGGGAGACGTTGCTCGCTGTTTCAGATATATCGAGCTTCCAGGCGTTCTTCAATTACATCGACATGAGAATTTTACTCGAGAATTTCTGCGTTTATCATGTGAATGCACCGGGACAAGAAGAGGGTGCATCCACGCTGCCTGAGGAGTAAGTACCCTAAATTATTTTATCCCTATTCGAGATCCTTCGAGATTAGATAGGCTGAATTAGACGAGAGGAAAATTAATGTAACAGTCGTCATGTTTCTTCGAGCATATGGTGGCCAGGAAAATATTCTAATGAATGAAGAACAATTCTTACGTTGCGTAACGAGTTGGATGATCCTAATCGAATCCTTGACCGTAAAATAATTAAATATTAAAGTAATATTAAATATTAACCACTTGCGCTAGAAAGACGTGCCACGCACGTCGTAATGCTTTTATCGCAGAATTGCCAACGACGTGGTATACACGTCGTCAGGCAATTATCACAGAAACACTAGACCGTTCTGGTAAACGGGTCTGTGAATTTCTTGCCAGCGCAAGTGGTTAAATATTAAATATTAAACATTGTTAAGGGGTTATAATGCAAAGAAACAACAGCCAGTGGAAACGGTGGAAAAACTGTATAGATGTTTATTAAACGGGCCTGTGTGTTTAGTGCCACGCAGGTCAAAGACGTCTTCAAAAATCTCCCCTACACTGCTAGGATTTTATTTTAGTATTTTGATTTTTACTACAACAAATACTAATTAAATATTAAAATTCAATTTTTCGATGATGCACAACTCGCACATATCGATCTCTCCCGGTCTAATCTCAGCCTAAGGTCGGTAAACGACCGGTCCCGATTGTGAACCGGGTTGGATCGAAGATTCCCTGGAAGTCCAGTAACGAGTTCGCTAATTAACACGCACGGTAGTCGACAGTGACGAAACAAAACTGGAGCAAAAGGGGAAAAGAGACAGCTGATTTCCCGAAGGATTCCTTACCGTGTGCGTACATTTGGATCTCGTTCAAGAGCGTTGTACACGCGCGTCACTTGACGGCAGTGAATTCAATTAGCGCAAATCAATGACCTAATTAACGTTCTAATTAGTCGAAGCCCCGACTATGTCCCTCTTTCGCATTTACCACGGATAATTCCACGCTTCGTCTTAAGAGCGATTCTCTCTCCTTTGCCTCATGCCTGCTCGCCGAGTTCTTTCTTCGCGCTTTTCCCTCTATCGCCGTTTGCATTTCTAGGGATTCCATCTTACCCGGCTGTTGCGCAATCCCCCCTTCGGTTCTCCAATCTCTCGTAAAATAGAGAAACGCCGGGACGAGGAGTTATCCCGGGATCCAGGTCTTTGAATTCGCTGAACCATCCTTTTCCCATCGGCCCAGGGAACGTTGTCAGGCAATTTTCGTTCCGTTTCGTTTTTCCGAATGGAAGGCTACCTTGTCACGCTTGGATAGGGTAGGTCGAGATTACTCGCGGTGGGTTGCAATGACACAGCGTGGTTAGAAAATTATTGCATTAAGTGGAGGGAACTGATTCACGTCGCGAAGCGACGTTGAAGTCCCAGATGCCGAGGATCCTCCGTAGTTTAGCAGAAAATCTTGCTTATTGCGTTTGCATTTCAATTTAATACCTCGATACTACTATTACCAGTTTGACATGAGTCCCTAAACATAGTATACGCGAATAATAATAAAAGTTAGATAATTACGAGTACGTAGTTGCATTTTTCTTTGCAGAGGATCGATATCAATTTTGTGAAAATCGGTTGCATTCTCAGTAATTAGAAAAGTAAATTATTTCTACTTGTTCGACGGTTCCAATGTTCATTGGCACCTAGTATCGATTTACTATCAAAAAATCCTATTTAATGATTTTATTTGATAAAAGGACTTGAACTTTTGGGAAAATATTGGGAAAATAATAATATCCATCAGTGGAAAAATTCATATCGAATTGACATCGTACTGAAGACACACGAATGTCTAATTATCTCCCAATTATTCTACACCATTATCTCAGAAATCTTTACTATCTCGGAACAATTGGATTCTTACATTCGATTTTGGATTACGATTCTGCGATCGTTTTATTTTAGATTACGATGTCGTTCGATCCAACCGCAGGATTCGATGTAACGAAGCAAACAATTAGAAACACTGTGACACAATTGCTTAGAATCGTTTACACCGTGGAATTAGAAGATTGACGGTGTCTACCTACGACATCCGATTAACCTGACCTCAAACAATCGAGGTTCACCTCGTCGGACGCATACGTGGCTAAACAGAGTGTTACAGAATAATTTAGACTGCAATGCAGATTTTCATGCAACCAGCAAGTACGAACTATTTCCGCTCGCGTGCCAAATCTGTAAAATTCCATCACCGGTGTCTATAACTCGATATGTTCGTATCGGATCGATCGTCTTGCTGACACTCGAAAATCTGTATCCATTATTCACAGTACGATTAGAAATCTCAATAATGAATATTTTCGTCGATCATGAACGAGAAACTCCTGTATCGAGACGTGTACGTTCACGTATGAGTGTTTACACTCGATAAACAAAGAAAGAAAAATCGGTAGAATAACAGCGTTAATTAACATAGCAATCGGTATAGTGGAAAACTAGTAGCTGGTCACGTTTATTACCTCGTATGTGCAGCAGGAAACATAAATCCCTGTATCATCACGGGAAACGTACATTTCATCGGTAGGATACGTTGATAAATATTGGCTGACGATCACTGACTAAGGCTGAGTGGAAAATTGCTTCGCACGTATCATCAATTCCAGCACAAATTGGGTATTAAAGTCTGCTATACACCCGAGTTTTCCTAATGCAACTTAAACACTGATACACGAGGCAATATATTCCCGTAGATCTTCCCTTCCCTATTATCAGGACCAAAAAGGATATTCCTCGTTAGCGGAGATGGGTTTCCCGAAACGTCGAGAACCCTAGAAACTCGAGAGAGCTTTCAGGTTCGAGGATTCGAAACTTTGCACCTCTTTCTGGCCTTAAAATTCTTGAAATTCTGGTAAAAAGGAATGTAACGTGGATGAATAAAGAAGATGTTTCGCTGCGCCACCATCTATGCTATTCTCTGAGAAACTTTTCGGTATACTCGATACTATAGTTATTGTTAGTCGACGAAGGAAGTAAGTTAGATCCAGAGTTGCGATCCTAGCATCGTACTTTTTGTTTAACCCTGACCAGTGAAGATTCGTGGCAAAATATAGTAAGGACCCCAATCCCCCAAACAGAATATTCCTCTTACGAAACAAAACCAGCACTTTAAATTTCGAGAGCTCCGATCTTCGAAGTTTCAAGAGTTCCTTACATAGTCTCGGATCTGACACTCGAGAGTTTAAAAATTAGACTTCAGCTTAGCCTAGGTAGTCAGGAAAAACTTGGTTTCGACGTTTAATCTCGTCTAAATCTCTATACCTATTTCAGCTACGTCTATCCGTCCATGGATGAGCTGGCTGAACAGCTGCTCTTCGTACTGGGCCATTTTGGCCTGAAATCCGTAATTGGTTTTGGAGTCGGTGCCGGGGCCAACATACTAGCCAGATTTACACTTGCTCATCCCGAGAAGGTCAATGTTCTGTGCTTGATTAACTGCGTATCGACGCAGGCAGGCTGGATCGAATGGGGCTATCAGAAGCTGAACGTTCGTCACCTGAGGTCGCAAGGCATGACTCAAGGAGTATTGGACTATCTGATGTGGCATCACTTTGGCAGGGTGAGAATACACATTTCAAGTATAAACCATTGCTTCATCCTTTAATCCCCTCACCAGGACCATATACAATTCGATATCTAAATTTATACGAATAAACTGTCAGCGTATCGACATTTTCTTGCGCTCAGCGCACACCCTACCGACACCTACTTATATATTAGGTTAAGTGAAAAGTAGCTTAGACTTCTTTATAAGTCGTTCACTTACCAAGTCGATTAACTCTGTCAGAGAAATATATTTTAACCGCGAAAAGTTAAGGATCTTGGTACCCCACTTATCTTGGCCTGAAAAATTGGAAAGATTCAGAAAGCGGTGTCAACCACCTTGCTCTGCGAATGACTCATTTGCCGAGATATATAGGAACGATGGAGGATGAATTTAGTTGATCGGAATACGAAATTGCGAAATAAATCACCGGTTTAATTCCTCTTCTTAGAGCACAGCTAGCAGCAAAGCGATCGATCGAACGAATGGGGGATTAACGATAGTAATTTATACCGCGAAGTAGTTCGATATGTACATATAAGGAAGCAGGCAACAGCCTCGATGACCCACAAACTTTTATCAAGGCAAGTTAGTTTAAGCAACGTTCACACGGAAACGTAGGCCGATAAATTATCGACGACACAGAGCCGTGTCTGGCGAAGGCTTACGCCGTCGAGTATTTCCAAGCAACGTGGAAAATTGGATTAGGGCATCAGTGGCAATTCCCTCGCTCTTATTATGCAACACGTAGCTCCTTAATAGAGTTACCGCATATATATCGCGAAAGAAGGAGGAAAGAAATGCTGGTCGGGTTCACGGCGAATGCATCATTCGACATGGGCGAGGAGCAAACGTAATTTCGAGGAGGAAACGAAACCGTGACTCGACCCTCTTTCGTGCCTTTCCTTCTCCTACTTTTACCCTTTTCATTTTTTCCCGACCGACACTAATGACGAGCCTTGACGGCTGTTTTGGCCTCCAAAGTTTACCGGAGAAATAGGACGTAAAAACGGGACGAAGACACTCGGGATCCTTGGAATTCTTCCATCAGGTTGTACCGTAGCCAGCAGCAGGATCACGATTCCTTTTTATATAATAGCTTCGTAATTCTATTACGTAACGATATATCGTAGTTTCAACGAATAAAGTCGTAAAATAGTCCATGTTCCAGGCACTGAAAATATCTCGAACACGATTCGTTCACGCAGCAAGTTCGTTTTCAATTTAGGACATAGTTGAGTCTAAAGATAGTCAGGATGAAATTGATTTACAGACCTAACTCGATTGCTTCTCTCATCCAGCATTATACGAAGTAATTCGAATCGCCAGGGATTGAAGGAATACTGTTTGGGAAATGTGTTTCAGGGCACGGAGGAGAGGAACCACGACCTAGTCCAGGTGTACAAGAACTACTTCGAGCGTCGCGTGAATCCAACGAATCTAGCGCTATTAATCGACAGCTACATCCGTCGTACAGACCTGAACATCACGAGGGAGTTAGATCCGACGCGTAAGAAGGAAGGTCTGACGCTTGGTGTACCTGTGATGAATATCACCGGAGCTTTGAGCCCACACGTCGATGACACCGTGACGTTAAATGGACGATTAGACCCGATGAATAGCTCTTGGATGAAGGTACGAGACTCTTGCAACATTAATCACCCTCTGTGCCAAGAGGCTGTAGACGTTGAGGGCTCTTTAGCTCCTCGAAGGGAGATTTCGTTGAGCGTTTCGCGAATTTCATTAGGAATTTCTGACGTTTAGATAGTAGACTACCTTTGAGACATGCACGACTGCAATTAGGACGATAATTTCTTGCATTTAGACCAAACTATTACGATTAGAGTTTGCGTTTGGTTAAATTACAACCCGAGAAGTACGAAATCGCTCCTAAACTTGACAGCAACGATAGATGTACCAATGACAGAGATTAGCGACTAATTGGATTCGTCTAATTCGCAGATATCCGACTGCGGAATGGTACTGGAGGAGCAACCAGGCAAAGTTAGCGAGGCATTCCGACTGTTTCTGCAGGGCGAAGGATATGGTAAGTGAGCGCCCTGTCGAACCACGCTTTAGACATTAATTATCAGATTGTCAAACGATTACTCTCATCGATCTTCATCGGTATAAACGAATCTCGCTCGCGCCATGCTGTTTCCGTAAAAGAGCACGCGACCGTCTGATGACCAATGATTTTTTATTTGAAACGAATAATACGACTGGAAATAAGAGTGTTGATGGATCGGTGTAGCCTCGGATGGGGATGACCCGTGAACCTTGTAGACGGACAGACGGATCACGGTCTCGCGGAGACGCCGCGTGCTCTGTTACGGAAGGATACGCGAAAATGGAAACGCAAGTGTCGCAAATCGTGAATATTCGTAGGCTTAAGTTCGTTCGATCGATTGCTACATTTGACGATTATCGGTATCTTTGGCCTATACACACGTATGCCGGAATCAACGCCGACAGGCGTACAGAACGTAGGGTACATTTCACGGACAAGCATAATCTTTCCTCGTGTCGTTCCGGAGTCCGTTGGTATGCGATCCGATAACCAAGTAACGCTTGTAAATTAAGTCATCCTCGACCACTTTGCCTTCGAAATCGCTAGACTCGTGCGAAACTCGGTTTAAGCTGCATTTAGCTGTAGCGAGCAAACGTTGTTTCAGTCCCCTCACCTTTAAATAGAAACGATCTTGCCGCAGACACTTCTCTCTGACGTAGGCGTTATCTATCGTGCAATCATACTCGAAGTAACTTGACGTTCGCCAATTATTATTTGTTCTCTACACCCTGGGATATTCTTGCCACCTTGTTCAATACGCGTGCAAGTACGAAGCGCGGTGTCGAAGGATTAACGCTGATTCCGCGACTAATCGAAGTTTATTATTCTTTTTGGCTTCTTGGTCACAGAAACACGATGGCACTTATCACATGACACAACGCTTTACCACTATCGCCCAGTCGATTAATATCCTAAAGAACAGGTGAAAGGAGAAAAACACGAGCGGTGTGTTTATCACGCGAATAGAGTACTTCGTCGATGATACAACGCCTAACCTCATCCCTGACTTATTACCCATCTCTACTCCCCACCATCGATTCGCTTGAACAAAAGACAATGAATTTAATACTTGTTTTACGTGGTAGGTATCTGCGAATATTAGCCAAGTACGCCCAAGTTGTTCTAATTAAATTAATTGTTCCTATCGTGATGATTATCGTTAATTAATTGTTGTTGTTACGATCGTCTCTGTTATACGAATAGAGTTTTCATGTTGTACGAATGGCGCGACGCCAAGACGTTGCTAACCCTCGATGCATCAAGGATCGACGCGCGTCGCGTTCCGAATTTTTCTAAAAGATCAAGCCTAACGTTTTCGTTCTTCTCATTCTTTTTTCGTTTTACAAACGGTCACATCGAATTAGTCGCTTGATCTTTCCCCGACGATCTCATTCCGAATCCTTGCTGCACCGAGACTTAACAACGTCTTCGATCATGTACTTTCCCTCGCTGGAAAGCCACTGGCTCGACTTGATAAATAAAAAGAGGTTTGAAAAAGGATTACGTTGAATTCATCACTTTAGTCTCACCACCATTTGTCATTTATTTGAGAGCTTTAAGAAAAGATAAAAAAAAAAGAATAAGAATAAAAAGAAAAAAATGAAAGAATGATTATCAAAGGCAAATAAGAAAAAAATACATGTTCACCGACTTGCGCCTTTATTTCCCACGCGTCTCGGATCGATCGAGTGGTACGTATATATCAATACCTAGTGCTTAAAACTGAAGTAGTCAGTAAAGTAGTGTCGGCTTTTTGGCTATTTTGTTTTGCTTCTCGATTATACCGCCAGTGCTAAGGATCACGCTATCGTTTAAGTAGTTTAGACAGAGGTTACAACGTAGACGTGTCTTGTACTTGAAAGTTGGCTCATGAGCGTCGGATGAACTTACGCTTTCGCTGTTCGAATGGCACGTAAACGGCTATGGCGGATTAGCGTTAGATATTTCCTGCCAAGCTTGAAAAATCGGCCTTACGAGGAAGACAATTCGACACCTGCGATTAATTCATTTGCAATGTAAACAGCCAAAGCGTCTTTTTGTTTCTTTCTTATGACTCACGTCCATTTCATTGGTACTCGCACGGACGAGCACCGATTTCTCGTTTCCATGGACGATAAGAAGATGAACATGGACGACAGTCGCGACCGAATCGCTGCTTCATTCTTTTCTTTTCCGTTTCAATGTACTGACACACGACCGTCGACCTAGCGATGCATCGCACACGAGAATGATTTTTCCGTGAAAAGAAAAAGAGTTCACGAGAACGTTCGCTACGGCTACGCTACGTTACCATCGTCCTGCGTTCTTTGGAATGTTTTTTAAAAGAGAATTTGTTTTTTTATGCCTTTTAGTGGTGAGATCCCCGCGGAAGCCCGTGACGCCGACAACACCCGAAGGTAATTGTAATTAGGAATTGAAGGCCGCAAGGAGTCAAGCGCGCAGTTGGTCAGTTAGGCCACGTCTATGTGTTAAGTAAGTCGGAATTCAAACTTTTATCGGGAGGTATTAACCGACGACGACGTATGTCGACTAACATATGTTGGATGACCTCGAGGCATATTCTATTTATTTCTCAAGGATTATCAAAAGGCAACTAATTAATGTTCATTTCCTTAAACAACGTTGACTCTCTGTCTCGGGCTCTGGATGTCGTGGGTTTATCTTTCGGACTTACTAAACTCTCTTGCATTTCACCACCGATTAATTCGCATCTTAGAATCGTCATACCTCTCGCTGCTGTTCGTTCTACCACTGCAAACTGTATTCTTTTTTTGTGCATTTTTATATAACGAAATTTTCAAACCGCGAAGGAACTGCTTCCACTGTTAAATTCAACGCATAGTTAGTCGCAGCGAGAGGATTAGTTTAAAAATTGCATCGCATATACTCGTGCATACGTTTAACTAACTTTTTGTTGGACAAATTTCTCGTTACTCTTACCTAGGATTCATTTAGTAGGATCGCGAGATCATGGTAATGTTTTATCGACCGAGCTCCCTCATTACTTGCTCTTATCGGTAGTTGGTACGAGGTAGCTTTATCAATGAACGATAAATCAGACATCTTCCTAGAGACACCTCTCAGTCACATCCCCGTAGAAATCGATCTTTTCCAAAGATTTCAATTCAAATTACAAACACAGGCTGTTTCCAAATGCGAAAGTATTTTAATCTGTTTTCTTGTAGCAGCATTTACTCATGGTGGGACATTAATTGATAGTATTTATGAAACCGTGCAGCTAAAAAAGAGAAAGACTCCGCACATACTGGGCAGTAGAATAGCAAACAACAAATTGTGCCGATTCACATGCCTTGCACATGAAACAGTTTCACCCTCACACACACGTACTTCTACCTTTTTCTTTCTCGTTTTGCATGCCTGCCTTTCTATCTCTACCACTTCGTTTCCAGTTTTATCTTTCCGTTTCACGATCGAGCTAAGTGTCTACTCTCTTTTCACGTTTTTGTCACCCGCCCACTTTCGTCTATTCACGATACGATCAGTTTCTTCTCCCCTTTTCTTTCTTTCTCTCTCTTTTCTCTTCTCTTTTCCTTTTCTTTAAACGAACGGAACATACACGTGGATACTTTCGTATTAACCTCGATACGAGGCTGAAGAACGTAATTCAGCACTCCGATTACTCTGACCTGGCATTTTCGTTTATTTTTCTTTACAGTGGCACCACTATCACCGCTGAAAATGGCTGACTTCAGACTGGCTTCCCTCGAGGGACTGAATCACGTTTGCAGTAAGAAAATCGACTGGCCCACCGCGACTATACACATCACCGAGAATCCCATATCGGAGGCAGTCGTTTGTTAAATTTTTCTCGATAAATCTCGCAATTGACGTTGATTGTTTTCGAATGACAAAGCATGCAGGAACTCGAAAAAAAAAACAAAAAAAAAGAAAAAGAAAAAGAACGAGGGAAAAGAACGGAAATGAAAACCACGCGAATCGAACATCGATTTCTTCAAGGTTTCGTCGGGGCAACGATCGACGTGGCTCTAACTCCTAATTTTCATTTATCAAACTAGCATTGTATTCGATTATTAGTTTTAAATGTATTCTCACCTTCATCAATATGTTTGCACTTAAGTTCGCTCTACTTTTTTTTTTATTTATGGTAACGTCTAAGATGTTTTAGGAACGGAACAAACGTTCACGATGGTACGAGATACCTAAGCAGCGATCATACTGCACACGTTTCTCTTGTTTCTTGTTAGCGGTAGATTAGGTTAGGATCGATAGCGTTTATTTCAAATGCAACAAGGATTTTATCGTTCCGATCGACAGATACGTTGAAAACCGGCGATTCTCGTTCACGAGACTTTTAAATATTCGCTGCGATTCGAAATTCAACCGCGGATTCACTTTTTAAATGCCGAAGCAAACGCGACGATTTTTACTGTTGTAACCTACGGTACCTTTGTTCAGCGGAACAGCGTATTTTTTTAAAGTTTCAACGATCGTTATAGCGCCGTCAGAACGGCGGCCATTTTAATAACAGAATTCGCCATTAAGAATGCGTTCCGATAAATTACATCCGACGCGTCGAAACCCAACAACCATCGCATTCATCGATACTCGCGTACGATGCTCGTACAATGTCAGAGAACAACGAAATCGTGATTTTACTTAACAGCGACATTCACGGGGATCCAAGACTACGAAAGATGGGGGAAAATGCGAAAAAACGAATAAATAAAAATAAAAGCAGCGTCGCAACGATGAACTCGAGAGAGAGAGAGAGAGAGAAAGAGGGAGAGTACACGAGCAAGAGGAGACGAAGATTTACCTTGGAAATGGCGCGAAAAATACAATTTGTTCTCGGGTACACGCGGATCGTTGATCACGGCTCGATGACGGATCGACGATGACAACGATCGGAAACGAGGTTCGATCGACGATTCTAAAATATTAATTACTCGAATCGACGCGCAAAAGTCGGGTGGCGTTGAATAAAAAATACTTAAAAGAAAAACGAAAAAAAAGAAAAAAAAACAAAAATAACGAACATGTGTGGTAGCACTGCATCGTAGAGAAGCGCGCACTATTGCTTTCCGTGTTCATAAGGAGAGACGAGAAACGAGCCTGGTAGGTGCAGAATCAAGGGAATCAAGTTCGTGGAAAGAGCATTACGCACATACGGGCAGATCCATTCGCGTAGATTCGATAAGAGGAAAGAGCGTGATGTCTTTTTATAAATTTGAACCCGTCCAGCCGCGCCTGCTGAAAGTTTTCACGAGTCACGAGTAAACCGTCGAGCCTGGTCGTCGCTTGTGCATCCTTATCGAATTCGACGGGCCAGACTTTATTACTCGCGATAAATCGATGCGTCGATCGATACGGCGGGATTTACACGATTTACGAGCGTAATCGAGCGCGTCGTCGACACGACGCGTAGAGATTCGAGAAGAAAATCGAGGTAAGATCGAAGAAGGTAGGTATCGAGCGATTGCACGCTTCGAGGTATCTTCGACGGCGTCGTTTGGTTCGTTATCGACGGACACTCTCCAAGTGCCGGAATGCGAGAGAAAAAAGGTGGTTTGGGGGGAAAAAGATTGGAAAAAGAAAGGAAAAAGAAGAGGAAGAATGAAAGCCTAAAGCAATCGGCCGCGACGAGCGACCGTCCGTGTTCTCTCGATAAGAAAAATTCTCGTAGGCCTGCACGTGTGATAATGTGCTTCGTGCTAAAAACAGGGAACACGTTCGGGGATATCCGCGCGTTAAACGTCCTCGAACGGATGGATCCCGTGGAATTAACAACGTTTCCTTGCCCGGCAACGGATGAAACGTTCGTTTGTTTGCGCTCGCGCACCGTTCGCACCCTTTCCTTAGTTTCAGGCGTTTAGAAATAATTAGAAGCGAGGATGCGTGTATGCGTGTGAGCTGGTGTACGTGGGACAGTGAGAAAGAGGAGACGCGCGTGTGTGGGCATGCGTCCGCGTGATATACATACATAGGAACGAGAATAAGTAGATAGTCGTTCACGGAGAAAATAAAGAACGCGAAAAAAGAAAAATGGAAAAAAAAGAAATAATAAATAAAGAAAAGGAGTATCTGGTCCGGTACCTCAATACGGTTCTACCAGGCTTCTTCGAGCCTTTAGCGTGATATGATAAGACGTGCCTGCTACATGATGTCGTACGTAGCTTTCGAAAGTTTCAACGCCTTTAGTTTTATATTACGACTCCCGTACGTCCCGGATTTTCCCACTTTTCGCGCGTCCTTTTAGAACGAAGCGTGCAACACGCTGCATTCATGGTAATAATCGCCAATATGGAAATTCCAAAAGCCTCGACTATGCTTGGAGCGGACGCTCGAAATTTCTTACATATCCTCGGATTCCAAAAGCAACGAAAATTTATTGCCCCATCGGTTCACCGCTTTCGTTCCTTCCGTTCTACTCGTTCAGATTATCTTCGCGCGTGTAATGGAACATGATCCATGAAAATTACGGAGGACTATCGAAAATGGTACACATATGTATATGTACGTATTTATAGAAATAATGGAATTTCTTAAAATTTCTTTTCAAATTCCACAAGACCCCGGCAAAATTTTAGTAGTACGGCATTTACGACCATCAATGGCGTGTACTGTGCACGTCGGTGAGGATACGGTATCGTTTCTCGATCAATGACGAAAATAAGGGTGGAAAAGGAAGAAAGGGGCGGTATTCTCTGATCCGAGAGTCGTGAACGAAGAAGATGCGCGAAAACACGACGAAAGTCGAGACGAAGGACGTATCGAGGGACGAAAGGTTTAATCGTTTCATGTAAAAGAGAGTTTATAAAAAAAGAGCGAATATATTATAGATGTATACCTATGGCGCGTTATTTAGGCCGGCGAATTGAAGACGGATCTGTAGTCGACAGCTTAGTATTAGTACTTTGAGGCTCGATCCTTCGGGCGGATCGAGGAGAAAACAAAAAAGCGAAAAAAAAGGTATGCACGCATTAATCATTGCTAAAAACGCGAGCGCTATAAGAGTAACCGTAGCTTCTAAGGACCACCCACACATTTACCATTAATCCCTTCGTTTCCACGTCGCTCTTTGAACTGCATTATAGAGACATTCAAGAACGAAATTAGATCCACGAATCCCATAACCGTTTCCCCATTAATTATATTTGATTGAACATATCGTGGAAAAGTGTGATACCACTGCATTGTACAACCGTTCAACGAGATCTAATGATAGCCTTTGATCTTTCATCGAAGATGTTCATGAGACGCATATCATTAGTACGAATTAATTTACGAATTATATTACATTCGTTATGATCGATGAGAAAATGAAAAAGGAAAAAATAAGAGGAAGAAAAGGAGGAAAGAATGGAAAAGAGAGAAACGAGATGGAAAAAAATTATCGACAGTTCGAGAATTATCGTGTCTGCGTTTTAATTCAGATGCTAATGGTGATTGAATGTCTATAACGCTCGAAGGGAGTGCGAAACTCACATGGTTGTTTGGTTACGAAGGGCTTAAAGAAAACTCATTTGCACACGGTCGATCACAAAAATCGGTATCAAAACGCCACTACAATCTCGCGGCAGGATGATAATGTTTTTTCCTTGAGGTGCTTACGTGGAGTTTTTGCCTCCGAAGCGAATTTCCAAAATTCCTCGCGCCGTATCATCAGATAGATTGTAGCGGAAAAAATATATTATTGAAAACAACTCGAAGTAAAAACAAGGTATAGTACAGTAAGCGAAATAAACTTAGACGGAGCTTGAGTATATATATAAATATACAGGTTAACACGTGCGCACCGAATATACATCTTGTTATTTATAATAAACGAATATAAAAAAGGAAATCGAAATGTCTTCATAAAATTCTCCTTTTCAATTTTCGAATATCAATATCGATTTAATTTCGTACATCCCGATCGCGTTTAACGATCGTTTGTTCGTTTTCGTATTTCTTAAAATAAAAAATATCTTTTTCGGAATATCTATATATATAAAAT